ATTGTCGATTTCTTTAACATTACTTCTGTTGAATAGTATATATATCAACTAATATAAAGTCTTATATATATTTTTTAGCATACATTTTTTAGCATACATTTTTTCATTTTTAATAACTAGAATTATTATCCCGGAAATGCTTTAGATGCACAAAGTGTCTTTTTTGTTAACTTTTAAAATTTATTGTAATATATATATTCTATTTAAAAAGTTATACTAAAATCCTTAGCAATATCATGTAATAATTCTTATAAGATTGAATTTAGTGCAGCTTTTAAATTTTCTTCTTGCTTATTATACAATAGAAATTTTACCAGGCTAGAAAAGAAACAAAATTTAATATTACACAATCAAGTTCTTTATAGCATAAAGAGTATGTAAAATATTTCTACAAAAGATACCAAATCAAATTATGTTACAAAATTAAGAATCTCAACTTTTATTTCTGCAAAAAACATTAAAGAAATCAGCAATCAGATTCAGAAATCATCGATTTCTTTTTTTTTATTTGATTTGCAAATTTCGCATTTTTTTGCAAACTGCAATAATTCAAAAATAAATTAACAATATGATTTCATGTTATTTTATAGTAAAAAATATATATTTATTGATATAACATTGTTGGTGTTTAATATTACCCTCAAATATGAAAAAATTTATAAACTAATATATTTAATAAAAAATGAAATATAAGAAATAAAGAATGTAGCTAGCGTTTAAAGTATTTCAAAGTTAAAAAAATTTAATTCATAAAAAGTTATAATATAAAAGCTTTATACGTATTTATAAGCACCATAAAATTAATTACGTATATAAAAAAAAAAAACCTGCTAACAGGAAAAAAAAAATTATAATATTAAAATTTAGAATGGTAAGTCTTCTGTAAACCAAGATTTTAAACACAAAATAGCTCGAACAGTTTCATTATTAAGAGAGTTTCGTGATTTAGTAACTGTTAATCTGGTTAAACTAAATAGTTGTTCACATGGAACACTAGTTGACACAATAGCTAGATAATCTTTTGCCATAGTAGCTAAGTTTGAAAAAGTCTTTGATTAGCTTTCCACCAATCACAAACAGAAGTTTCTTCAGGTGCCGCAGTTATTTCCCAATATCGAGTAAGTTCATCTAAATCAGAAGTTGTAGTTAACATAGTTGCTTTATTATATTCTTGTATAAATTGGATACACTTTGAAATATATTGAGACTGAACTATAGATTCAGAATTTACTAGTAGACTTGCATGAATTGAGGCCAAAATTTCATCTGTTGAATCTTCTGAATAAACAATTTGTTTAAAATGCGGATCAAAAAAAGCAGCAATCCTACTAGCTTCTTGCATAATTGGCCAGTATTCATCTAATTTTTTTCTAATTTTAGATACTACTAACTTCATATCTTGATAATTACTATAAAAGATATTAAGGTGATTGAATAAACCAGAAATAATAAGACGTAAGTCAGCAATTGTTAGATAGTTAGACTTTGAGAGAATTTCTGTTGCAATATTAAATAGTTTTAGACAATTACGAAGTTCCTAAAAAATAATTATATATTACATATTAATATTCATTATTTAAAATTATAAAAAATCTATTTTTATTCGAGTTAAAGTCACCCAAAATATTATTAATATTAATAATTTAATTATATAAATAATATTATATATAATTTATTAGGTGCTTTAATTTAAATAAATGTAGAAATATTATTATAATACTTACTAAAAGAATATTCTATTCATTTTCAGAAAGTTGTAAACTATGTAATGTTGAATGTCGTATAACAAGAGAATCTAAATCCATATGCAAAACTAATGCATGGTCTATCATCAAAAAAGATGAGTTCCATCTAGTTGAGCAATCAATAATTGGTCGTAAAAAAGGATGTTCAAAGGAAGCTGATATACGTTTTAAATCTTCAATTAAAAGTGCAGATTTACGAATTTTTTTAATAAAATGATGAAGCTTATTTAAATATCTATTTGCTAATTTTAAGCCTTTTTTAACTGCAATATTCATAATATGTGCAGCGCAGTGAATATGTTGAAATAAAGTATTGGAAAAATTATTAGCAAGGGTATTTTTAATTAGGCCAGACCAATTTAATTCTTCGTTTAACATAACCTCCTCCCCCCTATTTTTCAAAATTTATATGAACCCAATACACATTAATAGTAATTAATAGTATTCACCCCCCTCAATTTTTTAAATTTTATATAACCAACACATGTTAAATCAACCAATAAAATTACAAAATTTTTATTTTTG